AAATAGTGCACATATGTACTTTGATAACAGCTTGGCAGTTGCTCAACAGGGCAAACTATGGAGTTAGCGCATGATAGAGGCATTCCTCACCCAAACAGATAAACAAAAAATTGAAAATACAAGCTGAATACCCCTTATCTAAAATACTTCAGATCAGAAGTATTTCAGATGCAAGACATTTTTAAAATTTTGTAATATTTGCAAATACACAGATATCTTGAGAAAAAGAGTTATTCTGGGAATGGAATCCAAGTCTAAATAAAGCACTCATTTATGATTCAAATGTACTTTATACAAACAGCCTGAAGGAAATTTTACATACTTCAGTGCACTTATGTCTTTGAGCATGTTCCCATCACATTAGTCAGATGTGAAATTCTCTATTTGCAGAGTTGCTTTGACTCTTAAAAGGTCTCAGTCAATAAACTACTTGCCATCACCTATGTAAGATCTGATCATGGCAACATGTATCTGTAACTCCAGTACTGCGGAGCTTAGAGAAAGGAGGATCAGGGTTGATACAGCTGGTCAAGTTTAATGAGAAATTATATATAAAAAAATAAGGTGATGGGCTAGAGATACATGGCTTGAGGATTAAGAGCATTGTCTGCTCTTCCAGGGGATCCGGCTTTGATCTCCAATACCCACATTGCAGCTCACAACTGATTCAATTGCTTTTTTGGGGCCTCCAGGGGAACAAGGAAAGCACTTGATGCATATATTTACTTATATGAAAAACACAAATTAAAAAAATAGGGTGAAGAACTACAGAAGACATATCATGTCAAATTCTAGATTTCCATGTGTATACACACCAAGACGCACATGTGCACATACAGAGAACTATGTATATGGACTGCCCATAGGAAATAAACTCAATAAAACATGATTTGGGAGAAAAGGATTCAGATTATTAGATACTTCTAGATTCCAGAAATTTATTTTTGTTTGTTTCTTTTTCAAGACTGTGTAACAGGCCTAGCTGTCCTGGAACTTGCTCTGTAGACCAAGCTGGCCTTAAACTCATAGAAATCCACCTGTCTCTAACTCTGAGTGCTGGAATTAAAAGTGTGTGCCATCACCGCCCAGCTGGATTCCAGATTTTTAATTAAGAATATTCAAATCATTATGCTGGTACAATAACTTGTATTGAATACTCATAGTAGCATTTTTCATAATAGCCAAAAATTATTCCAACCTAAGTTGTCTGATATGCTTGTATTGTTTGTATAACCCCAGCTACTCGAGAAGCTAAGGTCTGACTGGAATACATAGTGAACTCAATGCCAACTTGGGCAATTTTGTGAGAACCTGTCTCAAAACAAACATGATTAAATTAGCAAGATAAAATAAATAATAGGGGCTGTAGAAATAGCTCACTGGTGGTGCACTTACACAGCATTCACAAGACTTTGCATTCAATCCCCAGTATCAAGAAAAAAAAAATAGAAACAAGTCAAATGTCTATCAGCTTTCAAGTAAAATCAAACCAAATGTGGCTGGAGGAAGCAGTGTGAAATGGTATGTCAAGGTATGACATGGCTGTTTTATTTTTTCCCCCTACTCCAACTCACAGAAGCTGTGATCATATGACTGAACTCTCCAACACCCAGTCATAGAAGGATCAAGGGTTCATGGGGCCATCCTTCTCTGAAGGTTAATATGCAATTAATGGTTGATAGGGAAGATGAGATTTTCTTCAGCAGTATAGCCACTGGTAAGGTTCCTAATATGCTCCTACTCACAACTCTTAAGAAAAGTAAGCTGAGCATTGGTGGTGCATACCTTTAAGTCCAGCAATCAGGAGACAGAGGGAGTCTAATTTCTGTGGGTTTGAGGCTAGCCCCTGGTCTACAGAGTGAGTTCCAGGACAGCCAGGGCTATATAAAGAAATCCTGTCTCCAAAAAAAAAAAAGAAACCAAAAAAAAAAAAAAAAAAAAAAAAGATATGAAAGTAGAAAGGGAGCTAGATGATTAAGAAGGTTAGTTAGTAGGTATGGTGGGGGACAGAAGGGAGTAGTGAATATGAAATATATTATATACATACATAGAAATGTCATATTGAGATCCACTATTATGGATAATATATGCTAATAAAACACTTTTAAGATGGGCGGTGGTAATGCACACCTTTAATTCCAGCACTCAGGAGGAAGAGGCAGGCGGAGCTCTGTGAGTTCCAGGACTACAAAGCAAGTCAAGTCAAAACAGCCAGAGTTATTAAACAAACTGTCTAGAAATACAAGAGAGAGAGAGAGAAGAAAAGACAGAAGGAAGGAAGGAAGGAAGGAAGGAAGGAAGGAAGGAAGGAAGGAAGGAAGGAAGGAAGGAAAAGAAAGAAAGAGAGAAAAGGGAAGTATGTGGCATATTTACATTATGAAATACTATTTTGCAGGGGCTGGAGTTGTAGCTAAGCTGGTAGAGGGCTTGCTTAGCATAATCAACATGTTTGATTTCTTATGCTTGATAAACACAAAAATTAGGCATGGTGGTGCAAACCTTAACTATAGTACTCAGGAGATGGAGGCAGGAGGAGTAGAAGTTCAAGATTATCGTTAACTACACAGCAAATATCAGTACCTTATACCCTGTTACAAGGGGTGGGGTGGGAGGGACTATTTTGTCATTTAGAAAGAACAAAGTAAATAAGGTGTCACATGCTTGTAACCACATGCTCATGAAGCTGACAAAATATTGCAAGTTTGAGGCAAGGCTGAGCTACAGAGCAAATTCCAAGATCACATGAATCTGTTGAAAGAGAAAACAAAGTGAGGTGGTGCACACTAGTAATTGCTCCACTCAGAAGGTGGAGGCAGGAGGATCAATAGTACTGGGCCAACTTCAGCTACACAGTTGAGTTCAAGGCCAGCCTGGGCTTCATGAGATCCTATTTCATAAACTATTAAAGTGACAACAAATGCTGTGACATGGATGAACTCTGAAAACCTGCTGAGTGGGGGAAAAACAGAAGCAAAAGACAACAACATTTATATGGAACACAAGTAAATTTTATGGAATACTCAAAAAAAGAGGTAAAACATTCATTTTCACAGGCTAGGAGGAGAGCAGAGTAAAAACTAACTGTTAATGGGAAAGTGTTTCTTTTTAAAGTGATGATCATATCCCTGATTACACTGCCTTATAAATATACTAAAAAAAAGTTAAACTGATAATTTTTACAATATGTAAATTCCATCTCATTTTCTACAAAGGTACACTTAACCAAAAGAAAAAGATAACATAAAAATCTAAGAACTAAATTGGTGCTGGAAATTTTTATAATTTTTTTATTTATGTGCACTGGTGTTTTGCCTGTATGTCTGCATGAGGGTGTCAGGTACTCTGGAACTGGAGTTATAGACAATTGTGAGCTACTATGTGGGTGCTAGGAATTAAACATAGGGCCTCTAGGAAGAGCAGCCAGTGCTTTTTACCACTAAACCATCTCTGCAGCCCCTAGTGCTGGAATTTTTAGCACTAAATACTCACATTACAAAAGAAAGAAATGTCTGAAATCAATAATCTAAAATCCTTCTCAAGACTAGAAAAATATAAAATGAACTCAGAATAAAATGAACTCAAAATAAAAACAGAAATCAAAATTGAAAATATAAAGAGAAAAAACTAGACAAAAATACTTCTTGTAAAAGATCAGTATAATTCATAAATCTCTAGTAAAACTGACAGAAGTGAAAGACACAGGTAATTAGCATCAGGAATGAAATAGAAGGGGAAGGGGGGAAAGAGAAAATAAAAATAAATGAGAATAAATGGACATAAAGGAATTCTTTGAAAATAGAAGACAACAACCCATCTAATATAGAATAGATGGGCTGGCAAGATAGCCTTGTTGGTAAAAGCAACATGGGCTAAATAATGCAAAGAACCTTACAAAGATTAAGGAAACTGAATGCTAAATTAAAACTCCCCCCAAGTTTTCAGGTTTACATGATTTCACAAGAGAATTCCATTTATTTGTTTGCTTGTTTTGACCTTCCCCCAACTTTTCAGGTCCATGTGACTTCACAAGATAAACCCATTTATTTATTTATTTATTTATTTATTTATTTATTTATTTATTTATTTATTTGCTTATTTTTGAGCTGAGCTGGCTCATGCTTTTAATCCCAACAGCTGGGAGGCAGATGCAAGTAGAGCTCTGCAAGTTCAAGGTCAACCATATCTACACAGTGAGACCTTGTTTCAGAAAATATTTAAAATCTTTATTTTGTTTTGTTATTAAATGCAGTTTCACCAAGTTGCCCAGGCTGGCCCTGAAAACACAATCCTCCTGCCTTAGTACCTAAGATTCCAGGTGTTTCACTATGCCACATTCAATAAGATTATTTCACTATACATTTCAAGAAAATTTAATGTTAATTTTGATTAAATAATCAAGGAATATTTAAATTGGATAGAAGATACCTTGTTTAGAGGAGGCTCAATTAGATTCCAGATATCAACCCTTCTCAGATTGAGACAACAGGGTTCTTTTTTTAAAAATGCACATACTCAGTTCAGGATATAGCTCAGTGGAAGAACACTAGCCTAGCAAAATACACAAATTCAGACTCTACATGAGACCTAAGAATTCTAGAAGTAAAACCCAAGCATGAACCATTAAGAAAGAATGTTTCCATCCTGGGTCATTCAACATCATAAGACTAGAACATCAGCCTCCCAGTTATTATCCTTAGAGTCATGGAACTAATTCCTGTCCTCTATCTGTATACCAGTTGACATCAACCCAGTATAAACTGGTCAGTCAGCCTCCTCCTGCCTGCTCTGCCATCTGCAGCCTCCACAAACAACCATACTACCTACTGGCCACCATATACATTTTCTTGAGGTCTAGTTCTTAACCTCTCAGCTGATAATAAAGAGATGTCACATAAGGAAATTAATAAATTATAGGCAGAATCTGGTTCAGTGATACTATCTCCCTTCTTTTTGCCTTTCCCATCCTCCCATCCTTCCCTCTAGAGGGACTCAGGAATAACCTGTAGGAATGAAAAGTGTTTGTCCTTGCTTCACAGAACACTTGTAGCATTTTTCCACCTGGTCACCAAAGAACATCTCGTTCTGATTAGAGGAGCTGCTCCAGCATTCAAAGAGAGTCAGATTAGCATTGGTTGGGCGGATCAAGTAGAAGATCTTCTCACCCTGAAAGAAAAAGGATACCATACCAAAGGTTTCAAAAAATGTCCTTCTGAGGAAAGGGGTGTTCCAAAGGACCAAACCTCTTTCCCATGCTCCACAACTAGAGCAGTGTGTCAGAGCTGTTTCCCAAATTTTATATCATTTTTTTAATCAACTACTAAAATTTTCTTCAAATTTTACAAAAATAACTTGAAGGAGGTATTTAAATTAAAACTGTTTAAATTAGGAGAAATATATACCAAATGCTCTGATTTTAGATGTAATACCAAATGAGAAATGACCTCTATAGCTAAGAGAAATAATACTAGGCCATAGAATTTAAGGCCATGTTACTAATGAGAAGAAAATTAAATCTGCCTTTAAATGCCAGCTACACAGTGTTCCTTTTCACACCTGCAATCAAAGTTAATTAACTTTAAAAGTTCAGTAACTGCCCAAGGACTTCTAGAAGTTTACTTTTCATTAGATGATTATCTTTTAGAAGAATATTTCTTAATTGTGTTTTGATTGGATAATCATCTGATAGACAATTTAGTGAAAAAGAACCATACACTAACATAAGGATAACTCTGGTAGCTTAGCTAATATATTATAAATTTAAACATAGAAAACTATAATATGTATTACAAAACTAAATATGCATACTGTACAGCTGGAAGAAACTGACAGCCTTCATAGATTAGCTAACAATAGTATTATATCAATTTCCTGATTTTGACAACTGTTCTATAGTATCTTAAGAGAATACCTTCATTCCCTTTTATAAATTTAGTTTAGAAACAATATTATTTTACATATCAGTTCCCCCTTCTTCCTTCTCCCCCCCATGCTCTCCACTGACCCCCCCCCAACCCATCCCCACTCTCTCCCCACAGATATTGAGGCCTTCCATGGGGGATCATCAAAGTCTGTTACATCATTTGGAGGAGGTCCTCCGTGTATTTGGACTGAAATGGCATCCTTCTATAGGGAATGGGCTTGCAAATTCCATTTGTGCACTAGGGATAAACACGGGTTCCACTGTTAGAGGCCCCATAGACTGCCCTGGCCTCCTAACCGGCACCCACATGCAGAGGACTTGTTTCTGTCTAATACCTTTGTCATTAAGAACTATATGATGAATGATTAGAGATAAGGAGACACTATGTCTAGAACTCTTCCCAAATGTCTTAGGGAAAAAAATAAACACACTTTATTTTGTTTGCTTTGGAGAAAAAAAGGAAGCATTTATGAATCTGAATAAAGAACATACAGAAAATCATCTCATTATTCTTCCCTTTTTTCCATAAAAATATTAAAGCATGCATTTGCATAACAGCATTTTCATTTACACGCTCCAATTCCCCATGATAAACCAATGAAAATAAATAATTGAAGATGTATGATCAATTTGCACAACAACCATAAAGCTAGTTTTCTGTTCCTTCCTCAGTACTTCTGATAAGACAAACAGTGGTGAAGACAATCAATATTACTTAAGAAATTGTTTTCCAACTGAAAAAAAAATCCTTAATCGCCACCATATAGTAATTACAAAATTATAACAGCCACTAACAGACAATCATAGGAATTATTAATTTGAAAGGAATTGTAATATATCTGTTTTATCTGTGGTGACAATTAAGTGACTATAATTGTCAAAATTTACACATATAAATAATTCTGTGGTATATATTATATTAAAGTTATCAAGAATTTCTACAATAAATATTGGCATTTTCATACATACTGATAGAAGTATTAGAAATGTCAAATAATAAAAAATAGAAATCAGTTTATTGAAGAAGTTAACAGATTATAATAAATCAGATCTATTATAATAAAAAAAACTTCTGCTGTGCTAGAGATACATAAAAACCAGGGACTCCCACATGCTAAGTAAAAACTATACCATTGAGTTATATTCCCAAGCCTCAAAAAAGAATTGTGTTAGTGCTAGGGTACAGCCTAGAGATGTTTTGCTTGCTTTTTTTGAGAAATAGTTTCTCTGTATAACAGTCCTGGCTGTTCTTGGACTCACAGAGATCCACCTGTCTCTGCCTCCTGTGAGTGGTGGGATTAAAGGTGTGTGCTACCACCAATACTAGGCTTGCCTAGGGCCTTCTTATGCATGCCTCCCTCCCCATGTATCTATTTTTTGGTCTTTGTTTAGGTTTTTTGAGACAGTGTCTCATTCTTTAGCTCAAGCTGATCTGAAACTTATCATGTAGCTGAGGCTGAGCTCTAACTCTTTGTAACCTTCCTGGCTCAACCTTCCAAGTGTTGGGATTATAAGCATAAGCCACCATGCCTACGTTCTAAAACTTTTTGCTTAAGCATCAACATAGAGACCCTAAGTAAGAACCTTCAATGGAGTTAATTATGTCAAAGTATGACAAACAGAATATGAGAGGCAGATATGTCTGGCTACCCCAAGAAGTCATATTCATTCCTACCTTAAGCACATGGTACCAGACTGAGGTCCCACCAAAGTCAATGTGAAAATCTGTATAGCTATCCCGCACGCTCATGAGGCAGTACTTCTGTACATTGGGTCTCTCAAAGACACATTCCTCTGGCCACAAGTTCTCCACCCATGACAACTTTCGAACAATCTTGGGTGTTTCTACAAGGTTTGAAAGCCTAGTAAAGAAGGTAAAAAGAAATGTAAGCTGACTGAAAATTGAAAGTTTAAGTCTGAATAAAATACTCTAATCAGATAAGACAATTTAAAAATATCATTTTCTCCACAGAAATATATACAACACTTATTCCTACAAGTTTGATGAATATTTATTTTTTATTTTTATTTTATGTACATTGGTGTTTCACCTGCATGTATGTCTAGGTGAGGGTGTCAGGTCCCCTAGAACTAGAATTGCAGACACTTGTGAGCTACCATGTAGGTGCTGGGAATTGAACCTGGGTCCTCTGCAAGAGCAGCCAGTGCTCTTAACGGCTAAGCCATCTCTCCAGTCCTGATCAGGAGCCTTCTTCCACCCAGCTTCCAAAGTTCTAAATCCTAGCTCCAAGTCCTTCCCCAGTAGGAAGTGATCATTTCTCCTACTAAATTATCGTAACTATAATTTCCTGTCTACTCATTCAGCATGTAGTTTATAACAGTTGTCTTATCCCTATCTTGATATCTTCTTTATGATAACCTCCAGAAGATCAGTTCCATATATCTATCTTTTTTTATACCATATAAACCCACAAATCTTATTACAATATACTCTCCTCTTTGTTTTAACTTTCAGGAAATTCAATGAAAACTCTATGGTCCATCTCTATCAACAATTTAAACAAAGAATTATGCATTCATGTGTATAGTACCTATTCATATGCATCCTAGTCCCCCACTTTTATTTCCTATTCCAGTCTTTTTCTCTTTTCTGCATGTCTCAAAGCTATCTCACAGGCTTTCTGGATAAAGTGATATATAAAGCAACTATATCTTTTAAATACCCTTAGGGTCTTTAATCTTAAAAGCATCAGCAAGGGTTTTAACATTATAATCTTATTACTATGTGGGAAACTGAAAAATTCACAGGACCTTGCTGTACACTGTTTTTGCATCTTTTTGAAAATCTAACTTTTTATTAATTATTTCACAGCTTAAAATGCCAATAATCAGTAGGTATACTAATAACAAAAGGATATGTTATGATTCCTTGCTATTCACCACAGTTCTAAGTATATAAGCATAGATAGAATATTTTAAATATATTCTTTCTCTTTAAAATCATAGTGAACCTACCTTTAGAAAAACTACTTATGCTTAATTTTAGAATCTACTTCCAGAGACTGAGGACAGTTATGAGGTAAAAATGTAAATACTAGGAAAAGTTCAAAGAAAGACACCCTAGAATGAAGGAGGCAAATTAAGTAAAATAGATACTGCACAATCCACCTGATGTTAGAAACTGGAGAAGAGCCAGGTGGTGGTGGCACACATCTTTAATCCCAGCACTCAGGAGGCAGAGGCAAGCAAATCTCTGTGAGTTCAAGGCCAGCCTGGTCTACAGAGTGAATTCCAGTACAGCCAGGATTGTTACACAGAGAAACCCTGCCTCAAACAAACAAAAAAATAAGCAAACAAAACTACGTAACAAAAAAACAGCAAAGGAAAGAAACTAAAGAAGAAATTGGCTAAGTTAAGTTATTATAAAGTTGAATCAATACCCTACAAAGTATACACCACCTCTCTACTACAAAGGAAGAAACCATTAGAAGAAAACAAACCAAAATAAAAATTCAAGTATATCTACAAGTTTTAGACATGTGGTCAGGCTTTTTTGTTACCTTCCCCTCCTACCTGGTATCAGAGAATTCCAAACTAATGACATTGAGGACTTTTTCTCTCTTTCCACTGTAATAATATTTCACGAAATCTCCGAGTTTCATCTTGCAGTCAGCCTGGCGAGCCACATCAATAACATCGATCTCTTTGTCAGAACCTGAAGTAAAGAAACAAGTTCTGTACCAATCGATGTCAGGGAAAAAAAAATCTTGTCCCCTCACTAGTACTTAGAATGAATGGCCTTTTACTCAGGAATTCTGTCTTCAGATACTGTTAGTGTTCAGGGCACAGAGTAGGAATCTATCACACCCTCTCAAGATCTGGATGGAGGCCTGTTAGAGCTCTGAAGCTACCTGACAGAGATTCTCATATAGTCTATCTGCCATGGATCTGCTTCTTTATTTCTTCTCTTCCACTCTCCCCACAACTCATGCTCCAGTAAGACATAGTATGTAACAGCATGTGTCAGAGAAAATCTGCCAGGTTAAAGGAGGGGGGAGGGAAGGGTCAACTTAGTTTTGTGTGGTATATTAAGAGAGTCAAACAAATACTGTCATTAACCACACCCCTCCCATCCCTCACAAATTAAGAAGGAAAGATTAGTATTTTGTCTCTTTGCCTTGCCAAAGAATGACTTTGGGTAAGGTACTTCACATCATATTCTCAAAAAAGCTAGAAAGTAAATATAAAAAAGTAGATTAGAAAAGTGACTCTTGTCTTTTTGTTTCTGTTTTATGTGAGACAGAATCTCTCCATGTAGCCTTAGGTATTCCTGAAAATTATGTGGCTGGCATCAGATTCACAAAGATATGACTAACTCTGCTTTCTGAGTGTTGGGATCATAGGTAGTGTATGCCACCACACCAAGCATGACTCAAGTCTTGATGGGAATAGGTAATGTTACAGTTAAAAGGATCTGTGATGTCTTACCAACATAGTGTTCCACATCCCTCACAGTAAATGATGGAGAGGGTAGAGTCATCCCCAACCCATCCTTCTTCAAGACGAGGATAGGCACACTGAAACTGTTCTCTTCCAGGAATTCCACCGTCAGCTGACTTCCAGTGGGCTTCAGAATCACTTCATCTGAGCTGTGTGAGTCATAAGAGAGGAACCCTGACTTTGAGATTTTGCTCACTGAAGGCCTAATGGCCTCTCACTCAAGGCACATAGTCCTGAGGGAGTCTTATGACATAAACCTCAGGAAAGAAATAGCCTCTCCAAAGTAGGAGACAAGGTCACTTACAAAGGTGGGAATGTATAGTGAACAGACTGCTCTTCTCTGAACAACAAAGGAAACTAGTCAATAGCTTACCTAGGAGGAGATATAACTAATTATTTTGACTCATTTGTTCTAACCTAGAATAGCAACATCCAATTTAAAATGTTAGTGAAGAGAGCAAAGATTGAGTTTAAAAAAAAAAAAAACAGTATATACTACTTCCTCAATACATGTACTTTTATAAAATGGGAATAGAATTTTTAAATTTTTCATATAATAAAATTTTGATCATATTCTTTCCCTTCTCTTAACTCCTAGTCATGATGGAGACAAGAGAGTAGATAGATGAAGGTATAGATAATACCAGAGCATTTGCTTAGCTTGCATTGGCTATGATTTCAATCTCTAGAATCAAAAAAATGGATTATGAAGAAAATGAGTTGAATTAAAACAAACTTATTCAACTCAGTATCTGTTTCACTCTTTATGTAGTTCTAGATAGCCCAAAAATTAAACTGCAAAAAGGTACTAGGGAAAAAAAAACTTTTAAGAGATAAGACCCAGTTGTTACTAAAATGGTTAATAAAAGAACTGATTTGCATTAAAAACTAAAATTGCAAGAAAAGCTGTTAAATATCAGTTTTCTACAACAGACTCTCACTGGGTGTACTAACCACACTTAAGGGCAGGTAAGCTCCATGCCCAGCAGTATATGGTCAACACCAAATAAATCCAAAGATATTTTTGCAGGCATTTTGTTTCACATTGCTTTGTTAGGGCTTTTTCATTGGTCTTACTTGGCTTTTTTTGATTTGATGTTTTGTGGTATTTGTGTGTGTGTGTGTGTAAGAGAGAGAGAGAGAGAGAGAGCGAGAGAGAGAGAGAGAGAGAGAGGGGAAAGAATGAGAGAGAAAGAGAGAGTTTCTTATGGGGTTGCTTGTTTTTGCATTATGTTTGCTTTCTAATAGCCAGGGCAACATTCAGAAGCCCTGTCTCAAAAACCCAAAACCAGAAGAAAAACTTATATACAAAAATCAATCTCTTTCATAATTAAAGTAATAAAAGTTAAAAACATAATAAAAGTTAAAATTAAAAGATCTCACTAAATTTTGATTAGAACGAAAAGTTTAATAATAAAAAAATTATTGGTGAGAATATAGTAAAATCAGAGCCTTGACAAAATGTATGTAAAATTGTACAACCTTTATGTAAACAATTGGCAATATTTACAGATTGTCAAGACAAAATCCTTTGCCCTAACAATTTCACTTTTACAATTAAATCTACAACTGTATTTATCACATATGCAATAACTTAAATACAAAAAGATATTCACTGAGGCTTCAAATATAGTCCAGTAGTAGAGTACTTGCCTAGCATGGTTATAAAGGCCTAGGTTCAATACTCATCACTAGAAAATAAAGAATTTTCTTAATAACAGAAAAATACTGGAATCAATTTAAATAGTCATCAATAGAAAACTGGTTAAATAAAATGTGTATCCATTCAATGAAATGCTAAATGACCATAAATAGGAATAAAGAATAATCTGTATATGCTATTGTGGATTGATTTCTAAGACATCAATCCACAATAGCATGTAAAAACAAAAGTAATATATATATAAAATATAGTGTTTCCACTTGCTTCAAAAAATAAAAAGGATACACAAATACATATATATGGATACAAAGATATTTTTGAAAGAATATGAAAGAAAATAGCTAACATAGGTAGAAGAAAGGATCTGAGGGGGTCTTATGTAGAAAGGGAACTGACAGCCTTTAAAAACTTTTAAAACCAATAAATTGGAAAAATCAACCAAATAACACTTGAAGTATAAGAAACCTGAAAACACTGAATTTAAAACCACATAATACTTGTTAATTTCCAACTCATTATTTTTGTTCAGTTCAGAAAGTGCCTAACTTGATTTTTTAATAAATCCAGGTTAACTGAAAGAAACAGAGAAAACATATTTTTTGACTGAAAAAGAATTTCTTTTTAATTTTAAAGTTTTCTCTCTTCTACAATGAGAGAATTAAATTTGCTGATCATTAAAAATCTTTCAGACAGCTGGGCATTGGTGGCATACGCCTTTAATCTGCCTGGGTTTCTGGGAGTTTGGGGCCAGCCTGGTCTACAGAGGTAGTTCCAGAACAGGCACCAAAGCAATACAGAGAAACCCTACCTCGAACCCCCCCCCCAAAAAAAACAAATGACAAAATAAAACAAAATCTTTCAGACATTAAATGGAAGACTGTTATGAATATGGAAGAGGAAAGGGGAGGAAATAAGAAGAGGTCATAGAATAGGTAACTATGATCAAAGTACATTTTAGAATATATATAAAATGTCCTAACAAAATGTATTACTTTGCATAATTAGTATACACAGGGAAAAACAAAATGAATTCTCCCAATTCTAGCATTACTTAGATGCTTATAAATTCACTAAGACAAATGCTGCTTCCCAAGTACTGCATATTTTTGTAAATAGGTCATAATGTACTCTAAACATCAAGTAAAACTCTGGCCACTGTTATTTAGAAACTGACCAAAACAGAAGTTCCCACCCAGAGGAGATTTTGCAGGGCCTTAGAAGATATCCAGGCGTGAGAAAGAGACACAGTCAATGGAGAAACTGAAGGGAATTATGTCCAGATTCCCATAGCCCTCATGCTTAAAATTTCTTTGGACTATGAGTCCTCACCTGTCAAAAGTCCTACTCCGGAGTTCTCGGATAAACATGGAGCTCCCAGTCTTCACTGGTTTCCCCTTGTGAGTATCATGCCCTTTGGAAGATCCACGGCGTTTTTTCACTAAACCAGGGGGAGAAAAAAAAAGAGGTCATGAGTTAGAATAGCCAAGAGCAAAGATTCCAAGAACAAAGTCCTCAATACTCAATAGTTATTTTCAATACTCTTATTTTCTAATCTAAAAACACCAGGGGGCATCTAGAGTTAAAGAGACTATCTTACACTCAGAAAAGTTCCTGGTGAAGAAGAGTGTGCTTCCTCCAGGCAGTTGCTAAAAAAGGGAGGAAGATAAAGCTATGCACTTCTGCCCTCTCAGTGCAATAGCTGCAGGCTGCTGAACTTGCGTAAGCTTCTGCTGTTTCCTAAGGAAGACGCATCTGAGGCACTTAGGCAAAGGCAATCTGCACAAAGGCAAAGGCTCTCCAAAACTACCTTTGACTTATTTCTCTCCTTGATCACTTCCTGATGAAAACCCTAAAATCTACTTACTAATTGAGGGCCCATGTAAGACCTCACAGTTGGGGCAATGGTATAGGTCGATATCAGCAGCCTTCTCCTCTTCAACACCAACACAACTGGAAAAGAAAAAAAAGTCAGGGTTTATAAGATTTTTACTTTTAAAAGTTCTAGAACAATGCATGTGGTTATTTATATTTATATTAATTAAAATTAAGTACAATTGGGGGCTGGATAGACAGCTCATCAGTAAAGAGCACTGGCTGCTCTTCCAAAATACCTGGGTTTGATTCCTAGCACCCAGAGGACAATTCACAATCCTCTCTAACTCAAATTTCAGGGAATCTGATTCCCTCTTCTGGCCTCCACCAACACCAGGTACATGGTACACAGACATACATACATGTGGGCAAAACATTCATACATACAAAAATAATATTTTTAATTGTTAAGTAAAATTTAAATGTAGTTCCTCTATCACACTAGCTATATTTCATCAGCCACATGCAGTTTACCATATTATGTAGATTATAAAACATTTTCATCAATGCAAATTCTACTAGTCTAAAACAATGATGACGAAAATGTCATTAAAACTTCATTAGGGCTGGGCAGTGATGACACACACCTTTAATCCCAGCACTCAGGAGGTAGAGGCAGGTGGATCTCTGTGAGTTCCAGACCAGCCTGTTCTACAAAGTCAGTTCTAGGACAGCCAGAGCTATTACACAGAGAAAGCTTGTTTTGAAAACAAATAAACAAAATCTTCATTAGGATTCGGAATGGTCAAAGCTGAAAGAACCTAGAACATTCATATGTGTGAATGAATAGAAATATGTAAACCAAATTAAGTAATATTAAATGTTCCAAATATCCACATTTAAAAGGCAAAAAAAGCCAATGTTCTAGTCCATACTTCTAATTCTAGCATTCTAGAGGCAGAGGCAGGAGGATTACCATGTGTTTCTGGTTACCCTCAAGTATTAGACCAGCCTGGGCTATATAGGGAAGACAGGTCTTATTTAATGACATTTTATTTTGCTTTACACATCCGAAATACTATCTCTTTCTGTGTTTTTTTTCCAAGACAGGGTTTCGGTGTAACCATCCTGTCCTTGAACTCACACTGTAGACCAGGCTGGCCTTGAACTCACAGAGATCTACCTGCCTCTGTTTTCTGAGTGCTGGGATTAAAGGTGTACACAACCACACCTGGCTCCAAACTATTTCAATATAGAACCCAAACTTAGAACTTTGTGAGATACTTTTTATTAAATAAAATTACTAGGAATATTTTATAGCCAATAACTACTGTGTGAACAATTATAGGCAATCATTTTTTTTGCAGCTTCATTGTATTTTCTACTTGCTTCAATGACCATGTGTTTTTATATTTTAAAGTTTAAAAGAGATTTAATTTTGTATGTGTGTGTATAAAGCAGTAATTTTACATATTAAACCCTCCCTTCAAATATGGTGAAATGTTTAAAAATTTTTTCAGAAACCACATATAGCAAGGTGCATAAAAACATGGTAGAACTCAAATTATTTCACCCAAGATTATGTTAATAAATTTCCTGAAATTAAGCCCCTCCCTTACTTTCATCTTTCCAACAACTCTGTCTATAAACCTGTAGCATGTCAAGAAATCAGAACATCATTATCAACTTTGTAGAGGTTAAAGGAGTCAAGCAGATAATATATATATAAAGGATATAGAACAATGAAAATAGAGACTGGTATAGAATAAATTATACTGTTTTTTGCCAAATCCAGATATCGCCCCTCACTAGCCTAAAGCTTTTTGTTGTTTTTCTCCTTTAAGAAACACTAACCAGGCTTGGTGGTACATGCATTCTGTGGTGGTTTGAATAAGAATGCCCCCCATAGGCTCATATGTTTGGATACTTGTTCCCCAGATGGTGGAACTATTTAGGAAGGATGGGGTGTGACCTTGTTGGATGGGGTATGTCTCTGGGGGCAGACTTTGATGTTTCAACAGACTCCTATTATCCCCAGTGTGCTCACTAACTCTTACTTAATGTTCAAGATGTGAGCTCTCAGGTATTTCTGCTGCCAGGCCTTCTCTTTGCCATCAATGATGCTAATCCTCTGGAACCATTAATCCAATTCAATGCTTTCTTTTATAAATTGATTTGGTCATGGTATTTTATTACAGTAATAGAAAAGTAACTAACCAGTAATCTCAGAACTTCAGAGATGGAAGCAGGGGATCAGGAGGCCAGCTTTGGCTAGATGAAACCCATTTAAAAATAATATAATGCAAAAAGAACCCTGCTTTACTTTCCAAGTTTAACCAGATACAGTTTCTCTACAAGGTTAACTATTTTTTTCTATACTAGTACCATTCAAGGTGTAATCCATAGTCTAAGACTGATATGTGAACTGTTGCTTTCAGACCTATGTTAAATACAGAAAATGAGAATAGGTATTACTTCTCAGCAATCTGGCAGGAAGTTTGTTTGTGTGTTTGTTTTTCAAGACAGGGTTTCTCTGTGTAACAGCCCTAACTGTTCTGGAAATAGCTCTGTAGACCAAGCTGGCCTCAAACTGACAGAGATCTGCCTGCCTCTACCTCCTAAGTACTCCTAAGTACTGGGATTAAAGGTGTACACTAGCACTGCCTGGCAGGATGTTTTAATTGCCATTGAATCTAATAATGAAAAACTAGGGTTTGTTATATTGCTTTTTATTCACATTATTTTTCTAGTCACTTTTTATAAAATCCATTATAGACTAAAAATAAAGAAAACTATGTCCTTGTTCTTTACCATAGAGTCTAAGGAGCACTGTATTAAGAGTTCTATCAGATAGAAGCCTCGAATATTTCCAGGCACTGACAACTCAAGTTCAGTAGATGACACTTTTAATTCTCCAGTGTGGATTTGAGATTATCTCTACTCTGTGACTTAGTTTATTTTCCTATTGCCATAATAGAATGTCAAAAACAAAAGCAACTTAAGGATAGAGGTGTTTATTTTAGCCCATAGTTCACAATCCAAAAAGGTACATCTCAGTAGGAAAATCAAGGCAGCAGGTACCTGAAACATCTGGTCACACTGAGTCCACAGTCAGGAAGAAGAAATCTGCTGCTGCTCAGTTCCTTTTCTGTTTACACAATTCAGAAAAGTGCCACTCACAGTGGGTGGGTCTTCCCACCTCAATTAAAATACAATTAAGATAATTTCCCACAGGCATGCTCAAAGGCCCAACTCCCAGTGATTCTAGATTTCATCAAGTTAACAACTGACATTAGCCATCAGGCCTTGTGTGCGATGATGACTCATTCCTCTTTGAGTTTCATACCATGCAGATATACCACTTCCTGCTCCTCTTTACTTCCAGTTACCCTTCTCGCCAACACTTCCCTTCACTCATCTAAGAACCTGTTCACAAATTCTTCTCCACCCCAAGGCTTTTCAATATTCTTCATGGTATAAAGTATTAACATGAGGATCCAACTTCCTAGGTTCACTCTTCTTTGATTGTATCATCTTCAAATAGTCAGCTCACTCTCATTTCAGCTACACTCATGATCACCCCCTAGACTCTGTCCAGCATTGTTTCACTTCTGGAATATGAAATACATGCACCATTTCTTTGACCATAAGTATATCCATCCAGCTCTCACAACACCTGCTCTCAAAAAACCCTAGCCGCTCCTATTTTTCACCCATTCTTTAATTTGTTTTGTTGTTGCTTAAAACAATATCGCACTGTGTAGTGCTAACTGGCCTGAAACTCAGAGATCTAACTTTCTGCCTCCAGCACCAGAATTAAAGGCCTGTGCCATCACATTACATTCTGCGCATTCTTTAACTTTATGCTTTGTTTTCAGGCAAGGTTTTACTGTGTAGTTTAGGCTGACCTTGTACTCATAATCCTTATGCCTCAGCCTCCAAAATAATGGGATTACAAACAAGCACTGGGATTATAGGCCTGTGACACCAAACTCCTGCCAAATCCACTATTCTTGACTTCAACCTATTTATTATCTAGCTTAAATTTCAGCATTCTTCACTTGCCCTATTACCTTTCATCACATTTACAAACCTATTCCTAGCTCAATCCTACTACCTAACATTAGACCACTGGGAGTGCTAGAGAAAACATAATCACCCATTGGGCTGGTGGCAAAATAAATTCACTGTCTAAAGTACATAGATTATATTGCTTGATAATCACCCTACAATTTCCTATTTCGCTCTTTCCTTCCACAATGCAAAGTAAACATTAAATCTTTGATCTCTTCCTTTTCTCCATGCAAATGACTCACTTCCTTCTTGGGAAAAAAACAAATAATCAGACAAGAACTAATTTGACTTCCTAGTACCAACTGTATTTCCTTCACCCATCCTTTCCTCCTATTACAACAAAAGTGCTATCTTTCCTTCCCCCTAAAGTCAAGTGTTTGCATCTAGGTCACTTTTTTTTAACTTTCTCGGTTAATTGTTCCTTCTTTCTAAAGTATCTTCAATCTCTCACCCTGTTGCTTTCTCCCCTTTCTTTGCAGTGCCATTTAAACAAGTACACTGAACTCAATGAGCAACAACAAAAAACCCTCATTCTTCTACTTTTCTTTCATCCCCTCTTGTCTGGCCCTCTCTGAAAGTTCAAAGCCAAAGATCTTTCTACACTTATATACCTTATATAGTTCAAAATGACCACTTTCTTTGAATAGGTGACAGTTAAACAAGGTACAAAACTCAAAAGATCCTAAATTTTTACCTATCAGTTATGTTCTTCTGTCATTCCTATTGTTACTGCACTAATAAAGGTTGTTATAATCTCTAACTAGAAGTATTGTCCTACTCACCCAACTAGATTCCAAGCCTTTGCTCTGTCTCCACACAAAATGATTCTACATATTAAAACAGCAATTTTAAAAAAAAGTGCGAGTTAGAGAGATGGCTCAGCAATTAAGAGTGCTTACTGCTTTTGCAGAGAATCCAGAAACTCCAATTCAAGATCCAACACCCTCTTCTGACCACCTCTGGCCACTGCACACATATGGTGTACATACATACACTCAGACACACATAAAAATCACATAAAAATCAATTAATTAGTTAAAAACACAAATGTGAGCTTATTATTG